GCCGCTGTGAAAACCCCAAATCTTACAACATCACCTTTATTTGCACTCAACAGGTGTTTCTTATTCGTTCCATTCTTTCTATATTTCTTCATTCTATGAATTACCCCACATCTCCATTTCTGAAAATGAGGCTGTACTCCACTACAGTGCTTATACAAATGATTGCAGCTAGTGGCTATTAGTCGATTAATGGACAGCATACAATGCGATTGCGTTACATCTTCGTGCCAAAAGCTTGAAAGTAGAACAGCACAAGACACTTCAATACGTTGTGCGAGACTGCGTAATATAAGATAATATAATGTATATGTAACTAATTTTACTGATATGAAACGTGACGTCCGCGTAATTATTACAATAAAGCTACTCCAATTAAGTTATTGTAGAAATTATCTTCATAATGCTCTTGAGTCATGATAAATACCACGGGTAATTAAACAAAGAATAGGAGGTGTGAAACAATCATGATTTGTCAATTAGATGGTATCTATAAGGAAAAGTTGCTTGTAAAATACCAGCTTTATATACCAATCTTCCGCGCGCACACTTTTAATTATCTTTCACTATCGCCTATTTCTGTTAAAATATGCTGATGCACTTATGTTATAAAACTGTTACTGAAAAGATAACACAGGCTACTATCTTGAAACTCGGCATACAAAAATGTATTAAGATAGGCTGTCCGACCATTTTCCGTAGACACAAATCACAGCTAACAACGTAACAGTAAATACAAATTAAGATGAACAAGAACAGGGCACTGATACCTGGGCCTAAGCGACAGGAAGTTAGAGGGTGGACGGTGTCAGGTAACGTGGTATTTAATGTGCACTCTTCGATGGGCAGGGCATGTAGCCTGCATAGAATAAATGATAAATACTAAACTTTAGTCTAAGACCTGAACACAAAAATGTAAATGATAAATACTAAATTTTAGTCTAAGACCTGAACACAAAAATGTAATTTGGAAGAGCTATGTGTAATTTTCACTATGATATTAAAATGTATGTTAAGGAAACAGTTTTGTGGAATGAAGACTGTTCCCAGATGGATACGAGGTGCGATCGGAAAGTTTCAAGACTGCGCCTATAAAAACCCGTACACTTATCTCAGGTATTAAATTCATCCATCACCCTCGAAGTAGTTCCCCTGGGAGTGAACACAACGATCCCAGCGCCGCTGCCAAGCCTGGAAGCATCCCTGGAAATCTTTCTTTGTCAGCCTGTCAAGCACCATCTGCGATCTAACATCTAACCATCCCATCTCTCCTCCCCGAAGCGCTTTCAAGGCGTGTAGTGAGGATAGTAGGTGAATTTCATTTCGCTACGTATCGGACAACAAATATTCCTCAGAGTACAAATTGTAATAATCGTAATTCTCGTTAATATTGAGTACGTGGAATAATTAGACTGCATTAAAGTTCACCTTCATGTAACTCACTACAAGCAAGTGTGAACAGTTTGTACGCAATAAAATTTATGAGTATAGACACCGGAAAACATTTACTGTAGATCAGATTGTTGAAATAGATCTGTCTAAAAGACTTAACAAACTTGAAGATGGCTGTCTTCTGGGTTGTTGGGCCGTGTAGTCCGGTTGTAATTCGCCGACATGGTTACCTCCATCATCAGGGCGATGAGTACCCCCGATGATGGAGGCAGAAAATACCTCTGAAAAGTAGGTAAACTTCTACCAGACTACATTACGCAACAAACTATAAGACAGCCATCTTCAGACTCACCGCCTTGAAAACCTCAAATGCTACTGAAGAAATCTTCTCTTTTAATCCTGCTTTGCGCTATGGATCATATATTTCTTTGCGAGCTTCGTTTTTTACACGTTTCTTTGTTATTTCGCTATCAATATTTTCTTTGAGCTATACTTTATCTGCCCACGGAACACAGTAAGAGAGAATTTTCTTCACGGCAGATACGTATTAGATTCATCTTAATCCGCGATCAATAATCTTTCTTTGTGAGACTAGTAACAAAATTGCGTGGATTTTATATACAAGATATAAGATGTCCCTGCACGCCTTGTGTAACAGATTCTACGTGCGTCCATCTTACAAAACAACCGGACAAAAAGATTGACATATTCCAATATTTCCTAACAGGCGAATTGAAACAGCAGTAACGTCGATTATTTAAGTTTAAGAAGTGAACTTTTTGAATCTTAACCTGAATATTGGCAACCCTGGTACCCAGAACTTGGAACAAATCAAGACTTCCATGAACTAATTTTGTAATTCATGTCACTATATTTCTTTCTCCATAATTATTCCTTATTTCGCCCACTGAGATGAATTTGTTTGCAATGTTAACTAAGCTTAGAAGCAATAAAAAATTACATTACAATTACAACATTTAAATACGCTGTTTGCACTGGCCTTAATTACCTCTGAAACGGCAAACTACTGCCCGACTACAAGGCGTCAAAAACCAGAAGACAGCCATTTTCGAATAATAATAATAATAATAATAATAATACGTTTTTGGACCAACCAAACAAGTGGAATAAAAATATATTTTAGCGTTATTTTAATTTCATAGCAAATCAGATTATTTTGATATTGTTATTAATATTTAAATTTCTTATACGTCTAGCCTTTTCTATGCCACACAAGCTATATATGTCTTGCTTTATAATAATAACCCTTTCGGTCCTGAATTAGTGTTCTTGATCAGTGGAAGAAACGTGTTCCTCAATACAAAACCTAACCGAAATAATGCTTCGCTTTTCAACATAGAAATAACATGACGCCATGGAAATATAGTAAAAATGGCTACTTATTTAAATCAAAATCAGTAAGGAAAACAAGATCTTCCTTCTCTTGGAGAAACTGTACATACAAATGGTGGGCAGAAGTATCTTCCTACGAGTTTTTCTTCCAATCTTGTTATGCACAGTGAGTCCTGTCCTAACTCTAACTATCCATTTATCATTTGAACTTCGTCACTACTGCCACCTGAATGCAGTCTTCACAACACTGCCATAGATCATGACCCGATATGGCAATCAATAGTCATGGGATTGATGCGAACATGTTCCTACAATTCAATGTAGGTTACTTTCTGCAAGCAGATGGACCCGAAACTACTAAGCGCTCCTTTCTCGAGTCACTGGTACAGTATTATTAAAGGGTATGAGCCGGGATAGCTCAGTCAGTATAGTGACTTTCTACGGGCTGGACGACCGGGGTTCGATCCCCGATGGGGGCAGAGGATTTTTCCTCTAGCCACTGGGGCCCACCCAGCCTCCTCTACAATGGGTACCGGGGTCCTTTCCCGGGGGTAAAGCCGGCCGGGGCGGGATGCTGACCACTCCGGGGGTAAAGCCGGCCGGGGCGTGATGCTGACCACTCAAACCCCATCTAGTGCCGAGGTCAAGGAAGAGAGGAGCTACACCTCCACTCCCCCCAAGTGCCTACATGGCGTGTAGTGGGACAAACTTTACTTTTCTTTTATCACTTTATAGGGTATTTACTTCTATGCACCCGAGATAAACCTTGCCCCTGAGGTATATAATGCAGCAGTTATTTCCGAAATACATTTTGTTTTTAATACGTGTTACATGTATTATATAGTTTTATTGTGAGGGATGACTATATATTTTACGACAGCGTCTTTCGAATGATGTATGAAGATACTAAAATGGCAGTTTTTTGAAGATTATTACAGCTTCTTTACATGTTTTCCTGGTACTTCATTGAACCAATGGTGAACCCAGCCACTCAGGCTTCAAGTTTCTGATTGCAGCACATTCCGTATAAACTGTGATGTTCCTAGCACGGCAGGTTTTTTAGACAGAATCTACAGAATTACTTCCTGCTGTTCTCTCCAGATATCTCTTTTAGCCCTGTGGCTCCAATGATTACCGGTATGACGAAACATTTAATGTTTTACAATTTCTGAATTTCTATACTTAAATTTTCGTATTTTAATTTCTTCTTGGACTCCTTCCATATAATATTCGTGTCGGATGAGATTGCTACATCAGCAAGCGAATTTTATCTTTATTATTTGTAATTACTAAGTCAGGCCTATTTGCCAGAACCTCTTTGTTTGTATTCCTTGATTTCACAGTACTGTTCTATATTGAAGATTTCTGTCTTCTCGGTTGTTGCGCTGTGTAGTCTGGTCGATGTTAACCAATGTTTCAGAGGTCATACTGCCTCCGTCATCAGGGCGATGAGTATGAAGATTTCTGTCTTCTGGGTTGTTGCGCTGTGTAGTCTGGTCGATGTTAACCAACGTTTCAGAGATCATACTGCTCTTAGTATGAAGATTTCTGTCTTCTGGGTTGTTGCGCTGTGTAGTCTGGTCGATGTTAACCAACGTTTCAGAGGTCATATTGCCTCCGTCATCAGGGCGATGTTCTATATTAATGTTCACATATTGGCTTAGGTCTGTGCGAGTACCAGTTTTATCATAAATGTTGTTATCAACATCACTACTATTACATTACAATTCTGCTACTACTTCAAAAAGACGCTCATCACTAAGAAATTCCCATATACAAAAACCACTGTAATACAATTAATATATTATACTACATCTGAGTTAGAGTACTAAAGAGAACTTCCTTGATTTAAACAGATTCTTACAATTCAGTAGGCACTAATTATGAGAATTTAATCAAAATTTAGGTGCTATATTCATTGTCCAGAGAGATGGTTATTCAAAATATGATAAAATATTATATTACACAAGATAAACATCATTACTAACTCTCGTGGCATCTTCCAAATCAAAACATGGTCATATCACGCCTCTAGATTTTAAAGTCAAATGTGTGAAGTGTTCTAAATAGGACCTAACTTTTGTTTTCAACTACACGTTAATAGTCTTCCACTTTCTAAACGACAGGATCTATGGCTGTTGACTGACACACGCAAAGCAGCATAAGCGGATTTCAGTTTTTTTGTCAGTCTCATCAAGCTATGGCTGTATTACTTCAACTCCGCTCTCAGTTCACACTTGTTGCTTTTGTGTCCGCAGGCGGAGCTGTCCGTTCAGGGGGACGATTTCACGCGTCAGATATGGCACATGTACGCCACATTTGAAGAATTCATCGACACCCATACGAGTTTCGGCAAGTTTGGAGAGGGTGCCGACAACACTAAACCCGGTGGGAACATCAAAGCAAAGCGGGATGATCAGGCTGGGGCGGAGGCCCGCCCTCGACCACGTACCAGCACCAGCCGACACAGAAGCAGACCGGGGCCCCGACAGGTAATCGGGGGCAGCGCCCTGGAACTGGCGGTGCCGAGCAGAGATATGGCGGTTTCAGCACCCGCAGCTGCAACCACCGAATTCAACTTCGACACATCGAAACTGGGCAACTCGAAGGATGACATGAGTCTCATATACCGTCGCCCACAGCATCATCGGTGTCGTTACCGGAGGAGTCGCCGACGGATGGACATTGCGAACCCACTCCTCGAAACAATAAGTGCGATCCACGATCCTTGTGAGTCCGACGACCACGATTTTGGGGATCCAGGACCGCAGTACTATGGCATAAGGGATCATCGTCTTCCCGGCTCCCGATTTTCTTCGGATGCCGATAAAGATTCCATTGGTTACGCAGGTTCAAATTCGATCGACTCTGGTTACAAAAGCTCATGCCCTACTCCAGAACCAACAGACGCTTTGTTTTACGGCAACGAACCCGGAAGCAAACGCAGTTCTATCGCTAGTCAAGGCAGTCAACAAAGCCAGAAACCGCGGATAGCCATGGGCACCAAAGTCATGAACAGGCATTCACATCCTCAGTATGCAGGGCGGGATCTGGACCACCTCATGTACCTGCGCCAGTCAATCCTCAGCGCAATGCAGCGTTACGAGCAGCACGCTGTGAGTTCCTCCCCGAGCCCGGGGTTCAGACCCAGGAGTTCTAGCGCCAGCAGTCCCGGGTACCGTTCCGCCAGTCCGAGTCACAGTCCCGGTCCGAGCTCGGGAGGTCCTGGCTCCAGTCCTCTGCCACAACGGCGCCCCCACATGACCAGCTGCCCTAGTTCGAGAACGCACAGCCCCTGCTACAGCAGTGCGAGTAACGGAAGTGGGAAGAGTTCCCCAGGCTTCCATCGCTCGCGTCTCGCCACGGCTGAAGAAGACATTGACACCCTGCTGTACGGCAGGGTTGAAGACTTCCCCTGCAGCTACGTCACCATGATTGAGGACAAATACAGACGGAGCAGCGTCGCGCGCGTTAAGAAGCTGAGAGGTAAAACACATACGTATCTAACGCGTAAAATATTATGTCAGTTGTTTGCGGAGACCTCGCTGTACCCACCACAGCAGATAAAGGAAGACATGAACCGTGAAAAGAAAATTCTATCTAATCCGCAAAATCTTTAAAATATTCACAAAAAGATGTTTTGCTAATTTCCACTTTCCTAAACACGTTATTCGGAGAGTATTACAACCACAAGAAATTCGAGATTATTACAGAGATCTAAGTTCTGCGGTCCTAATACAATTGTTATTGTAATTCATTCTTCATAAACGAAATACCAAAGTAGGTACAATTCCTGAGAGCTCCACAGTTGAGTATGCCATGTCCGTATTGATTAGTGATAACGCAATTTTAATGTGTTTTGATAATGCAAGAATAATGTCTATATGAGAGCCTTAGTGTGATAATCGCTCTGATAACCGAGGAATTACTCACCTCTGATACGTCGGTCAACCTACACAGAACTACAACGCACAGTATTCCAGAAGGTCGTAGACTTCATACTCGCCGCCGCGAAAATCTTAAATCTAAGCCCATTATCACTTTGCTCACACAACCACCCCGATTTCCATCAAAATAACTGGGCAAACCTGAATTATATCGCTAAAATACTGAATGACCTTAAGTTAACGTACAATTTAAGGAGTTTTTAGCGTTACACACCGGAAAAGCTCCACACCAGTGGCTCAATATTCAAGTTATTGTCCATGGATGATCGGTGTAGCTTCCACGAGTGATGGGGCATACTTCCCATCTAAATACAGTCTCGTCCCATACTCTACGTACTTGTAGCATATCTTCATAGACACTCATTTGCAGGATCGCAAATTCTATCTCGCAATTAACAAGAACTTTAGCAAAGGAGAAACAAAACCACTGAAGATGTCTTCTGTGTTGTAGCGCCGTGTAGTTTCAGAGGTAGTTGCTGCTTCCATCTTCCAGACTGCACTGCTCTAAAATCCAGCACACACCCATATTCATATCGCCGTCGTAATGGCCTCAAATCCTGTTTTTAACAAATATTGCCCTCGACGATCAGGGGATGTGAGGTCAGGTGAGCGCGGGAAGACAGATAACGTAATCAATATTGAGTGTGGATGGAGAAATGCTACGAAGAGTATGGCAAAGGGCACGCGGGTATCACCCATGGAAGCACCATCAATCACCATGAAAACAAAACCTAGAATGTTAGGCGAGTGGTGTGGAGCAAATCGTTTTCCGACGTGTGACCTGAATAGATAGGTAAAAGCCTTTTAAATTGTACTTTAATCTGTGGTCGCGGTGTATTTTGCATATGTAAGATGAGTGACACTGAGCCTTGAATCGGATTTCGTGTTCACGCAACGGACCCGCCAGTCTGGTACCAAACGAGCCCCCATGTCTAGCCTGTTTCTTTTACGCTTGTATAGACTGACGCCAAACACTGCCCGGGGTATTGGACCCTCACGTGTAGTACCTCTACTGGCGAGGGAAAATACCAGCGGGCCCTCCGAATTCCACACGCCACCCATCAAAATCTTCAGCATTTCTCAATTACTTAGCTCGGTGTTGCACACGCATCGCTGACTCAGAAAAATGCACATGCGTTCCCAACCATTAGTACAAAAATTTTCTCACAACACTTCGCGTGCACATAAGTGATATAAAATATGAAAATTCGGTTCAACTTTTACTTCAGACATTTTAATCTAGTGTATATTTATGAAGACGGCCACGGTGGTCTAGCGGTCAGAACACCAGCTTTGTAAGCCTGGGGTCCCGGGTTCAATTCCCGGTGGTGCTCAAATTTATAACTTGTGTTGGGCAAGGCCGTGGTCTAGGCATCACGGAGTTTTCCTCCGGGGGCTTCCCCGGTTTCTCCGTGTCATCCCAACAATTACTCCACTCACACACAGAAGAAGGCAATGGCAAACCACTTCTGATCATCTCTGCCAAGAATGTATATATGTATGAGCAGGTCCCTGACAACCTGAAGAGGTTGGAAGGATCCTGTTCATAATATATGGACCTGTCGTCAGACAGAACACTACAAATAAAAAAATATTTATGAAGATTGTTTGAAAGCATAGGTAAGGTTGTAATTGTCACTGGCAATGAATTTAAATCCTGCCTCCATGACAGGAGCCTATAATTTGGCAATGTTCTTGAATGTACATCAGTTATGTCGGAAAAAAATCATGTTGGATACCATCACCTGCAGAGAACTTCAGAAAAATCACGACCCTTTAAACTGTTTTCCAAATTTTTACCCCTTAAAAACAAAGTGGTCACCGACTACACAGGATCTAATAGTACTGCCTGCTAGAACATTCAATAACTCTTATTTCGAACAGTGTAAAGATGGTTTCGTATGATTCTCCAAACAAAGACAGACTATTTCTTGAAATAGCATGAACCATATAATCTTTAGCGGAGACGCGTCATGTTTTCTTTGAGGTAGGAGCTGGGTTTTTAAATACTGTTTAGATAACCCTCGTGATTCGACATACAGAGCAACGCCTAATTAGACATTTGGTTAATGTTAATGCTGTCATAACAACCAAAATTCCTACAAACAAATCACATCGCGTCACAGTTACAAAGATCAACTGGTGACTGTTATTAAAGTAAATAAGACGATGGTATTATTCAAGGCAGCCTTAAAATCACCCAGTCTTAATTAACGTTTACGTGTCTCGACAATTTTTGCTAAATCTCCCCAATATGAAAATCCGATCAACCCTTCTCGAGTTGTTACACACAGAGCAATTTTAATAGCCCCCCCCCCCCCC